TAGACTCTTCTCTGGTGGGGGGTAGGGGAAGAGGAGGGAGCCCCAGGGCAACACGTGCTCTGGGTGAGCAGGGTTCCGACCTGCCCCTTGCACCACTCTTTGTACCTGCTCAGGTGGCACCCCCTCCACGAGAGCCCTGGCTGCTTCCCTCGGGGGCCCCCCGGGCAAACCACTCCGTCCTAAAATGACCGCAGGGTCTGAGTGGCTCTGGAAGGGCCAGCCAACTAACCTGTCCTCCCGTGTCCTGTGCCTGGCACAATTGAGCGTCCCCAGCTCGTGGGAGGGAGGGAGAGGAGGCGGCCTGAGAAAGCATCCCTCAGGTCCCCCATCGCAGCACTAACTCGGGGAGTTGCTGGAATTACCTGTAGTTGCCCATACCCAACGCACACCCCTTGTACCCGGATTTCTGGGGTTTTGGTGGGGGTAGTTCAGCCAAGTCTCTACTCCACCTCTACTCGGGTCTTGTCAGAAAAAAGAGGGCAGACCCCACTGCGGGTGGCATCAGACATGGAGGGGAGATGCTGGTGAGCCAGCTGGGGAGTGGGCTTCTGGAGGCCCTGCTACAAGCCCCCCTACACACAGCAGGCAGCTTACCGCCCCCCCACCCCCCGCCCAAGGGCTGCACGGATGTCGCCTTGCCCCAGGCTCGTCACCACGCCCCGAGCCCGGTGGGCCCTCAGCCTGTCCTCCCAGGACCTCCTACCAGCGGGAACTCGTGGGACACCCTTCCATCAGGGGGTAGCTTGGCCCCGAAGCCAAGGGCAGGGAACATCTTGTCGCTGTCATAGTGCTGGATGATCTCCCCGACGGCAGTCAGCGCCAGTGCATAGGCGTTCAGCTGGTAGGGGCTCATGTAGTGCAGGGACGTGGACTGCGAGGGGTTCCCTGCAACACGGGACACGGGAACATTTGCTGGTGTCGACACTCCAAGCACCCCGGGCTCAGAATGCAGTGGGGGGTGCCCAAGACACCCCTAATTTGATTTATTTATCCTTGACTCCTTTCTCTCTTGCCACACCTTCAATCCTTTAGTAACTCCTGGTTGCTAAACCTTCAAAATATACGCAGAATCCCATCTGCTGTCCCCAGCTCTGTGACACCACCAGCCACCCAGCCCAGCTCTCGGCCTCTGCCCTGGGGCCTGCCGTCCAGCCAGACGAGCCTGTCAAACCCCAGGCAGCTAGATCTTGCCTCTTCTCTCCTCCAAATGCTCTCATGCTCCTATCCCACCCAGTCCCAACCGGGGGGTGCCCACAGGCCCCAGGGGGTCTGGCCTCTGCTTACCTCCCTCCTGGCCTCCTGCCACCCCCTCCTATCACCCACTCAGGCCTGGCCCCTTACCAGCCCCACCTCAGGGCCTCTGCAATGGTGGTTCCCTCTGGGACACTTTTCTATAAATGTGTACATGGTGTGTGGTCTTCCTGAGCAGACTCCTGAAAATTACAGCCTCCCCCAACGCTCCCTGTCCCTCTTCCTGCTTACATTTTCTCCATAGCCCTTGTCACCACTGATAATGCCCGCATTTTACTTATTTGTTTATTAATGAGGGGCACTCTGGCACAGACTGCCAAGGTACAGATCCTGTCTCTATCTGTGTGCTCGTGGATGGTTCCTTAACCTCTCAGCCTCAGTTCCTCGAGCTTAGAGTGGGGATAATAGTCTCACCTCCTGGGATTGTTGTGAGGAGTCGTGATGTGTTACTGGAACTCCCCTCATTGTAATGACAAGGCCCCTTCCAGCTCTGACTTCCTACCACTCTAGGATGCTAGGGCACACCTGAGGAGTCCAAAACCTGGGCTCCTTCTGATAGACACGGAAATGGGCACTGAGCACCGCTAATGGAGGTCCAGACTCCAAGGAAGGTTGTGAAGTTTCTAACAGTGTAAAGTGGGGCACTGATTATTCCTGGTGACTCGGTCATAGCCCAACCCTGGAGAGAGTCAGAGGAGGGAAGGGAGCTGGGACAGCCCCAGCGAGGGTGGGAACTTGGGGCTCCTGCCCTCGCTGAGGACCACAGAGCTCTGCTCGGCCTGAAAGTTGGCCTGCACAAAGGATGTGAGGTTTAATCCCATTAGGAAACACTTCTTCTCCATGTGCTATTTGTGGGCCCAGAGTAGCACTGCCCTATCTTTGCAGGAAGACTGGGTGCCCTCAAGGGCAAGGCTGTGCCTCAGGGCACATAGGTCCAGAGCCCAGATTTATTAGACCATGGTCCAGTCTGGGGATGCCTTTGCCATCTTGATTATACTTTGGCTCCCCAGGCTTAAGTACCTTCTTTTTGGTGAGGATGAGGCCAGAGAATATGGGAGATCTGGCTCCCAGCTAGGACCAACTACGACAGCTCTGAAAAGTACCCCCCATCCCTTTCCAGCCCCAGCCCCACGCCAGCTCCTCTGCCCATCCCCCACTCACCATTGGAGGCCGTGAAATCGATGGCCACCGTGAAGTTGATCTGGGTCCTAAAAGAGGAAGAGGAGCAGGGGAGTTAGCTGGACAGGCGGCAATCTGGCTTCCACCCCAGCCCCATGCAACACCCCACTTATGATGCTGCCTTGCCAAAAGCTGGAACGTGAATCCTACTGAACTTCCAGATCTCCCAGTTGTTTACAGGAAATATAAGGGACAGAAGAACATGTTAAATGACAGCAGGGGGATGCAGCCAGAAAAGCCAGTCTGGGGGCAGCAGTGAGGAGTCCAGGCCCCCTGCAGACCTCGTGAATCAGAATCCCTTGGCGGGGAGCAGGAATCTGTTTCAGCAAAGCCTCAGGTACTTGGGGGAATCAACAGATAAAAAGAGAATTAAGGGGCAAATGGACCAATCGCAATATATTGATCTTACCTGGATTTCTGATTCAAACAAGCCGATTAAGTAACACAACGGGGGAAATTCGAACACTGAAAAGGTCTTTGGTATTAAGGAACTGATTTGTAGGTGTAATTATGGTATTATGGGTACATTTTACAAAGAGAAAGTCCTTGGGGCCCCTGGACTTGGGGCCCCTGGCTCAGTTGGTAGAGCATGCAACTCTTGATGTTGGGGTTGTAAGTTCGAGCCCCACGTTGGGTGTAGAGATTGCTTAAAAATGAAATATTTTAAAAAAATAAAATAGGGGCGCCTGGGTGGCTCAGTCGGTTAAGCATCCGACTTCAGCTCAGGTCATGATCTCACAGATTCGTGGGTTTGAACCCCACGTTGGGCTCTCCACTGACCGCTTGGAGCCTGCTTCAGATTCTGTCTCCCTCTCTGTCTCTACCCCTCCTCCACTTGTGATCTCTCTCCTTCTCTCTCTCTCAAAAATAAACATTAAAAAGTAAATATAAATAAATACAATCTAATTTCTTTTATTAAAAAAAAGAAAGTCCTTA